ACGAGAGGGAAAATCGATCGATCGATAGATCGATCGACGATTATCGACGATACAATAAACAATAAAAAACTCGCCGATATGGAAACAACGAGAGCAAATCGACGGAAAGGAAAAATTTCTCCATGATAAAGGTAACGTCACTTATAACACCCCACGCGCATACTTTCTTTCGTTTTATCATTATTAATTATCATTATCATTATTATTATTTCGTACCCGTTAAATAAAAATGTCTTCCCATTATCATTTGCGTTTTATTATTAACAACCGGAAACCGGAAATTTATTATTTTTTTTTATCAATCAAACAATCGAATCCAATGAAAACGTGACACGTACGCACGTATGAAAATCACGAACGCGTAAATTCCAGTTAATTATTATCAAATGTACATAATTTAAAACTTTTCTCTCTCTCTCTCTCGTAGACATTTCAAATTACTCTTTCACTCTCTCTCTCTTTCTTTCTCATTACAACGAGTTTTAAATTTGAAAATAAAAACAAAAATAAACATTACAAAACGTTCGTTAGTGCATTCGAATTATTATTTAAAAAAAATTTTTTTTTTTATGTTTTATGTTTTTGTTTTGCTTTTGTTTTGTCTTTTAATTCATTTCGCTTGGTTATTTCGCCTTGAATTAAATCTTTATTTAAGAAAACAAAAAACAAAACAATACGCGTACAAGTTTTTTTTTTTTTAAATTTTTTTTGCTACAAATTACCATTTTTAATTGACAAACTGACGTAATCGTTACAATGTTCATAGATTACTACTCGTCGGGTTTAAAAACGACTCCTCGATTAATTTCTAATAATAATAATAATAATAATAATAATAATAATAATAATAATAATAATAATAATAATATGACGAGCCCCTATTTACGTCGTCCCATTCATTCATTTACACCCTTTAAAAAAAAAATATTATCCAAAAAAAATGAGGAGACTTGATGGGGAAAATGGGGGGAAGGCGTCTGATGCCCGATATTTTGTTACCTTTTGAATTTTTTTTTAAATTCATTTTACGAATCCATTTAATTGTTTGTTGTTGTTCTCTCTCTCTCTCTCTCTCCCCCTCCGACTTCTCTTTTCGAATTCTTACGTAACGATAAATAATAATAATAATAATAATAATAATAAAGCCAACGGCCATAGCGTGCTGGTCACACCGGTTCCCGTACGATCACCGAAGTTAAGCAGCATCGGGCGTGGTGCAAACTTGGATGGGTGACCGTTTGAAAACGCCACGTGCTGTTGGCTTAAAAAGAGAAAAAAAAATGAGAACAAGACAAAGTAAGAACCAAAAAACAAATCTTGTTCTACTGTCGACCTGAGGCAGCTCGACGAGAACGTGAATTTCACTGCTTCTGACCCTGGCCACTCCAAAGATGTTAGTCACCGGAGCCCAGTTCAGGAGACAAATCGTTCCCATCGAAAAAGACGGACTCAGGAAGACCTTCAAGAATTGATGTGGTGCTATCTTATAATAAGTGGCACCACCGAAATTCGAGTATTTGTCCCTAAGGAATCGGGTAGAAACCTCGGATAAATACTTAAAAACCCCGACAAGTAGCCTTGTCGTGTTTAATGGTGGATAATAATAATAATAATAATAATAATAATAATAATAATAATAATAATAATAATAATAATAATAATAATAATAATAATAAGAATAGTAATAATAATAATATTAAAATAAATATTTTTTTACGAAATTCGAAAAGGTCGAGGTAATGATTTATTTATATTATTATTATTATTATTATTATTATTAAAACAAAAGAAAAACAAGAAAATTTTTTTTTTTATGTAAGTTTCCTTCGGATGACAAAAAAAAAAAAAAAGAACACCGACCGGGAAATGAAAATAAAACGAAAAAGAGAGAGAGAGAGAGGGGGGAAAAGAGAGAAAGAGAGGGGGGGAAGAGAGAAAGAGAGAGAGAGAGAGACTGTGACATTTTTTTTTTTTACTCACAACCGAAAACAAATTTCGTTACATATAAATAATAAGTTCACGTAATATTTCGAAATTAATCATCCGAAAAAAAAAAAAAGGAAAATTGACGAGGCTGGAAACGGTGCGTGCCTTTTCACGAGCAGACGAAATATATTATTAATATTATTATTATTATTAAAAATAAATACAAGGAAAATAAAAATAAAAATAAAAATAATTCAAGAGAAAAAAAATAATGTTAGATAATTTTAAAAAGATTCGAGTCGGTCGGCGAAATAATAAATTTTGGCAATTTATAAATAAAATCGC